CAGTTGCAGCCTCTCTAGGGGAAAGCCTCAGGTGTCCATATGCTCCTCTCAGACACACACCTTTCCAGTATATTTGCCTGCCAGCATCTCCTTAAACAAAACAGAGATTATATGCCTCTTTGCTTTGCTTATGCGGTTCCTCCCTTTGGAGAGTTTCTTTCCTCTTCTTGTTCCTTTACATACTGGGTAATACACCATCTCTTCTGTTAATTTTTTATAATTTCCTTATCTGCACACATGTCTTTGTTCCAGCCTAGTTGTAACCTCCTTACTTTAGGAACTGTCTGCCAATTCATTTTAGAAGCTCCTATCTAACCCCCAGCAAGGTGCCTGGCTCAGAATACCCAGTTAGTCAATGTCTGTTGAAAGAATTTTTTCCAAAAGAGAAGTTATTTTACCTTGTTCTTGATGCAGAGACAGGGTCTTGCTATATTGCCCAGGTTGGTCTCAGCTCTTGGCCTCAAGGGATCCTCCTACCTCTGGCTACCAAAGTGCTGGGATTACTTACAGGCACAAGCCACCATGCCCAGCCTTTTCTTATTTTATTTTATTTTTGTTATTATTATCAATACTGCTTTTCTTACCAAAGAGTCCATTTTTGAGGGATGACATTCATTTATATGCATCATCTATATGTACAGTACAAAGTGTTCATGTGTTTCACACTCTCATTTCTTTGTATCTTCATCTAAGATGCTTCCAGTTTCAGTTGATAGAGAGGAAGAAGAGATTAGGAAACAGACCAGATCCAATTTGCCAGCCTTGATTATTTTTCTTTTGTTATTGAAGTATGTATGACTTACCTACAGGAAAGAGCACACATCTTAAGTGTAAGCTATGTGAATTTTTTTTTTTTTTTTTTAGACAGAGTCTCACTCTGTTACCCAGGCTAGAGTGCTGTGGTGTCAACCCAGCTCACAGCAACCTCAAACTCCTGGGCTCAAGCAATCCTTCTGCCTCAGCTTCCAGAGTAGCTGGGACTACAGCTACAGGCATGTGCCACCATGCCTGGCTAATTTTTTCTACATATTTTTAGTTGGCCAATTAATTTCTTTCTATTCATAGTAGAGACCTGGTATCGCTCTTGCTCAGGATGGTTTCGAACTCCTGACCTTGAGCGATCCTCCCTCCTCAGCCTCTTAGAGTGCTAGGATTACAGGCGTGAGCCACCGCGCCTAGCCTGAGCTATGTGAATTTTTAACACTGTTAAGATCAAGATATGGAACACCTTTGATTTTTTTTTTTTTTTTTTGAGACAGAGTCTCGCTTTGTTGTCCAGGCCAGAGTGAGTGCCGTGGCGTCAGGCTAGCTCACAGCAACCTCAAACTCCTGGGCTCGAGCGATCCTTCTGCCTCAGCCTCCCGAGTAGCTGGGACTACAGGCATGCGCCACCATGCCCGGCTAATTTTTTATATACATATCAGTTGGCCAATTAATTTCTTTCTATTTATAGTAGAGACAGGGTCTCGCTCTTGCTCAGGCTGGTTTTGAACTCCTGACCTTGAGCAATCCGCCCGCCTCGGCCTCCCAGAGAGCTAGGATTACAGGCGTGAGCCACCACGCCCGGCCTTAAAGGTATTTCTACCTTGAAATATCTCTCAAATCCCTTGTCTCCTTTCAACTTCCGACTCTCACCCCACTGCCACGTCTAATCAGTCTCTCTCGCTTTCTTTCCCTAGTGTCTGGCCCATGGCAAACACTCGAATATTTGAATGAATGAATCAACAAACAACTATTGTTGGACGAGTGAGACCCAGGTTGGAAGGAAAGGGTGGGTATGGAGGGTTGTGCCCAACCTGCTTTGGGTAGATTATTCAACATTGCCTACATCAAGTTCCAGAGTTACTGGGAATTCAGAGGAAACATTTCTTTTTCTAGAAATAGTAGAGTTTCAAAGGGGCGTAGGGCTTGAGGACACCCAAAGTTTGAGCGTCGGGTGGTCGCCTCCACCAATCCGTGCCTCTCTGCAAGGAGCCCCGCCCAGCCGCCGTCCAGCCAGCCGGAGCCGTCCATCACGTCTGGGCGCAAGCCAATCCGACCAGCCCTGCCGTCCTGCCAGCCAATCGCGGAAGGCAGGGGGCGCGCCGAGCCGCAGAGCGGGTGACTGGCTCCAGGAGGCATAAAGGAGTCAGGGGGCCGGGCCGCGCTACCTCGGTGTAGCAGGTCCGCGAGTTCTAGTGTCCCGTCCCGCGCCAGAGCCCCGGGGCCAGTGTTCCAGTGTTTCTGTGCGCGCCCTCTGGCTGGGCCCTGGCTCCTGGGGTCTCGGTTTCAGACGTGCGCTGGTGCCAATTCAGCCGGAGGAAGAGGGCGCCCCGAGGCCCCCTTCCCCGCACACACTCGGGGCCCGCAGGGGGGCCCCCGAGGGCAAGAAGGAGGGACGCAGACGACAGACAGAGGCCCTGGGGAGGGGAGGAGACCGGAAGGCATGCCCCCGAGGCCGCCCCGCCCGGAACCGCCGACTGCCCTTCCAGAAACCCGGTCCTCCGCGCTCCGCTCTGCGCCCGCCGGCCCCGGCCTGTGGCTGAGCTCGTGAGGCCGTCTGGGGAAAGCCAGTGGCAGCCGGCAGAGCTCTGGGCGGCCGGCCAGGCCAGCCATCCTGGCGGCTCCGCTGGGCTGCGGGCGCCAAGAGGCGGCTGGGGGCCCCGAGCGGCCCGCAGCCCTCCATTCCCAGAGGGGTCTTCGCTTCAGACCCCAGAAGGCCATGCCTGCAAACTTGGGGTCCGTGGGAAAGGACAGCGCCACCCCCTGCCGGGTGGTCCTCCGGTGGTTCTGCGCAGCCCCCACCGCGCCGGGGGCCTGGGCCGGCTGCTTTGCAACAGCCGCGCTCCCACAGTCCGTTTAGCCACTGTGGGCCAGGACACCTCTCTGGTCACTTTCTGCATTGCCATTCCCCCCGCCCTCGGCTCATTCCTTTTAACCCTGTAGAGTGCCTGTGAGGGCGAGGGGTTCGGACGGCCCTAGGGTACCGGGCACCGGAAAGCCACCTGTCCCCAGCAGTTTCCCACCCGGGCCTGGCTCTGCGGAAGCTGCCACAAACACTTTAACCTTTCAGAGCCTCAGTCTTCCCCTCGGTGAAATGGGGAGAGCATCGCGTAATTCACTGGGTTGGGTGAGCCGGCTTGCGGGAAACGCCGGGCTCCTGCCTGTCCCTTCCCATTGCCGTCCCTGCACGACTGGAATGGCAGGGCCAGGGCGGGCGCCACAGGGTTGCTAGGAAGCGCGTGTGCCCCTCCCGTCTTGCGGTAGCTTAGGAGTGGTGGATGGAGCCAAGCACTGGGTGTGGCTGCATATTTTCCAGAGTATTTCTGGAGAATTTCTCTCTCGTCGCCGCACTGGCCGCTGCGCCACAATATTTAATTGTATGCTCTTTATCCTCCACTTTCTGAGTTGCCGTTTTGCATTATTTACTGGAATGGGTTATGCACTCAGCGCTTACAATGTATATGTTTTTTTTTTATTTTTAGTAGAGACGGGGTCTCGGCTCTTGCTCAGGCTGGTCTTGAACTACAATGTATATGTTTACATACCTATATCGTTGTCGTTTTCTCTAATTACACAAATAGTCAAGGCCATTATAGATACCCAATCTTAAAAGAGTTTCATAATGTAGGACGTGGTAACCTCAGGGACAACGTCTCTTAACACCGAGGGCTCGCTGCTTTCTTACAGTAGATGGCGGAAATTCCAGTACCCTTGCTAGAGCAGAACTCGCCGGGCAGGTCACGCGTACTGGTTGCTACGACAACGCCTTGTCGCCAGTGTTGGAGACCTGCGACTCCTAGAGCCGGAGTCGGCCCCGCCCTGGGGGCGGGGTTAATCAGGGGAACTGACCCGCCGGGAGCGCGTTTCCCGTCTTCCCCTGCAGGTGGCGCTATAGGATCGCGGATGCCGTCCTGGGGCGGGGCTTCCCGCGGTGCTCCGCGCCTGGGAGGGGCGGGCCCGGGGCGGGGCGTGAGCCGGCCGCTGCGGCCCCCAAAGGATCGAGGGGAACTAGCCGTCCTGGGACACAAAGGTAGACAGGCTCGCTGTACTACGTAAGGGGACGGGGGAAGTGTATGCGTCAGAGAAAGAAAGTGGGAATCCGAGGTTTTGGGACGGCAGCAGAGCGGGGAAATCGCGTCTCCCAGAAAGGTTATACATCTCCCTCCTTCCCGTTTGTCCCTGGCATCCCCTCTGCCCTCCTCTCTCCCCGGACCTGCAATTCTTCACCCCCTCTGGAGCGCACTGGGGCTCCGGACACACATGCACGGTGGGAGCTCGCCGATGCTTCCTTGCCCCCAGCATCCGGGCCGAGCCATGGCAAGCTCGCAGCGTGCCCAGGGCATATGCCAGGAAAGGAATTCCGCGATCCCAGGCATGCCAAGAAAAACAGCCATGCTGTTCCTCATTTTGTCCCGAGGAAGCCTTACTCCCTTCCTTTCTGGAGGCTAGGAATGGAAAACATGACTCAAGGAATCCCCAGCGGAGCCATCACGTGTGTGCGGCACACACAAAGTAGGGGCACCATCGTTTGCTCTCCTTTTCCCGGCAGTATGCGCCATTCCTCCCTCTTCAGTCTTGCCGTGTCACAGGCCATACCCGGCCCTCCCCGACACATGGGGGGGCCGTGGTATAAACGTCGCACCCTCTGTGTTAAGTGGTCCCCTTTCTGGTGACCCGCCCCTTTCTACAATCACAGGGCTAGAGGGACATGCCCCACCCCAGCACTGGAGATCCCGATGAGGAGCCTTTATCTGAACACGCACATGTCCAAGGCCAAGAGAGAAGAGACCCTTGGCAGGAGACAAAAGCACGTTTATTAGGGCCCTGGGGCCAGGAATGCCTAAGGTCTGAGTTAAGGCCAGGCAGTGAGAACGGGTGACTCAGTGCTGGGGCCAAACATTTCCCTCTCAGAATGCCTGGCGGGGGACCTCAGGAGCCAATTCCGTGCGAGGCCTGGGGTGCAGAGGGGTCTCTCCTGACCCCTGGGGTCTTCGGGCTTTTTACCAGGATTGAGGAAATGGTCTGGGGAGCAGGGAGCCTTGATTTCACAGCCTTCATTTCAATAACGACCATTTAATTTGTTCCTTGGCAGACTGAAGAACCTGGGTGGGGTGGCGGAGGTTGAGAGAAAGAACTGAGGGGCATGTCAGATGCCTGAACACGCCGTGACCGGGAGATCTACGGCCCGCCTTCCACAAGCCCCGGTCACTAGGTGGCAGCAGCTTGTCTCTGCTTGGTTTAAATGGGCACAGGCCAAACTGGCTGCAGCCAGCTCCCACCTCAGACCCAAGCCTGCCCAACCCTCTGGTTCCTGCATGGGCAGCCGTTGGTGTGGCAGCGCCCCAGTCTCTCCCATGCCATGCCACGTGGGTTCCCACCCACACTGCCACGTCCAGGCCCAGGCCTGACACTTCCTGTGTCCAGACACCACAGCAAACCCCTAGCTCTGGCCTTGGCTGGCAGTTTGTCCTCAACACCCCACCCCAACCCGCTGCTGATGTGGCACAGCTGGCAAAAGGTGGCCAGCCAGACCCTGCCATGGAACACCTGCTCTCAGCCGTGTGCACTTCCACACTATGCCAAGGACACAGTCTCAGCCCAGTGTTCACACACAGTCCCTCAGATTGTCCCTTCAGCCATTAAGCCTCATTCCCTTTCAAGGTCTACCCCACAGTGTGTCCCTTCCTCCTCTCTTGGGGACAGCTTGGCCTGGGGTTCCCCTGATTCTCTTAGCTGGAATCTAATGTTCTTTTCTTTTTTATATCCCATTGGCTACTTGCAGTTTCCTTGGATTTTACTAAAGAATTCCATCAAAAATGCTATGTCTTCATTCTTTCTCCTTTTGGAAAGATAGTGATGGTTACTTATTGAGCATGTATGACTTGCTAGGAGCTATCCTAAGAGTTTCCCATACATTGGCTCATCTAATTCTCATAACTATGAGGAGAGACCTGTTGTTATGAGGCCAAGAGAGGTTAAGTAACTTGCCCTAAGTCACCCAGCTTTAGGTGGTAAGGTGGAAATGTACCCTGAGATAACTCACATGAGCACCTGTGCTCTTGTCTGCTGCTCACTGCTCCCTAACCTCTTTCTGCCCTGAAAAGTGCTGTGTGGCTACAGTTGTTCCAGCAGGGTATGAGGAGACACAGGGAGTCAGAGGGGAGGGTGAGGCAGGTGAACACTGAGGGCAGTGCAGGAAAGCAGGCACCACCCCTGGGATGGCACAGGCCCGTCTCGGCAGGGCCACCATGGCAGGAAGGAGTTAGTGCCAGGGCAGGAAGTTCCATGCAAGGAGGATTAGTCTGGGCAGAGAGACCTGTGGGCAGACAGAACAGAGGTCAAGACAGTCAGCCCACCCAGCAAGTCTGTGCAGCTGGAGAACCAATCAGGCCTCAGATCCAGGAACCTCCCACAGCCCCTGGCTCCACAGGCACCCCCAGATAGGACCACACAGGAGTGTGGCAAAGGTGGGCTTTTCCACCCAGGTCACTTAGGGGCAAGGTGGCACATGACGTGTGAGGCAAGTTAGATCCAACGGTGGGTTTGAGAGTGTCTTTTTTTTTTTTTTGAGACAGAGTCTCACTCTGTTGCCCAGGCTAGAGTGCTGTGGCGTCAGCATAGCTCACAGCAACCTCAAACTCCTGGGCTCAAGCAATCCTGCTGCCTCAGCCTCCCGAGTAGCTGGGACTACAGGCATGCACCACCATGCCCGACTAATTTTTTCTCTATATATATATTTTTAGTTGGCCAATTAATTTCTTTCTATATTTAGTAGAGACGGGGTCTCACTCTGAGTTTGAGACTCAGGCTGGTCTCAAACTCCTGAGCTCAAAGGATCCGCCTGCCTCGGCCTCCCAAAGTGCTAGGATTACAGGCGTGAGCCACCGCGCCCGGCTTGAGAGTGTGTTAACAATCTGTGTGGACCCTAAATGGTGAGGATGGGGTTTGGAGGCAAACTTCTATTGGGTACTCTTTCCAAGTTTGGGCGGCATCAGGGGCCTGAGCCCCCAGATTTTCCGTGGTGGGGATGAGTGACCCACCAATCTCCAGGGTGGGCAGTTCATCCCAGGTTGGGCTGATGGTAACATGCCCACCCATCATCAGTTAGTACCAGCTGCCCCCACCTGGGAGAGCCAGGAAGTGTCCAGTGGGTCTCTCCAAGAGATGGCCTGTTACCACCTCACCCCTCTAGCACCCCTCATCTCTCAGCCCTGATAGCCCCCCTGGGTCCCTGGGGATGCTCTGCTTTCCTTATCCCTCTTGCCCATTTCTGGCCAAGGCAGATGCAGGGTCCTACCTGGGCCACACTCTGCTCAGTCAAGCCGCCATCATCTGCCTGTGAGGAAGCAGAGTTGGGGAGGGAGGTCAGGCGAGGGCGAGGGTACTGGGCCAGGGAGGAGAAGGAAAGGGGCTCGGGGTGAGGTGGAGCAGTAGTTAGGGTGATCCAGAACTGCAGCTGTGTCACTGGTTAGAAGTCCTGCAGCCTGTCATTTGGGAGCCAGGGCCCCTGGGACCCAGCTGTGGCACATAAAGATAGGAAGAAAGGTTTCTTTCACACTAGAAAGCCAAACTAGGCAGGGAGACTCTCTGTGCCCCTCTCCCCGCCAACCTCAAGGCCAGGGCAGCCACCTGGTTTCTCTTTGAGGATTTATTTCCCCAGTCTGTGCTTCGCACTAGGGAAAGTGGTGAGGTACTCATGCTCCTACGGGGAGAGGATGGGAGGATCTCTTTTACTAACTGACATCCCACCCCCAACTGCTGCTCACCCACCCCAGCCCTAACAAGTGCATCGACCCAGCGGCTGGCTTCTGCCTGAGAAGCCTGGGCTTCCATGGAACATCTCAGCCCAGGGAGGACAGGAGGTGGGGAGGACAGGAAGGGCCTGGAGGAGACGGGAGGGAGGGAGGCATGCAGAAAAGCCCTTACCCTAAAATTGACTTTCTGGATCACTTGCTGGGGGTCACTCTCCAGAATCACGCTACAAAATGAAAGAAAAACCAGGAAGAAAGTTGTGACGTAGCTGTCCCCTCCACCTCCTCTCTCTGCCCAGCCTCTTCAATGCATCCTGCAACATGTCCCCTTCGAGGGTCCCTTCCAACCAGCAGTCCTCAAGTCAGAACTCTCCCTCTCCCCCGAGGGCCCTTGGCTCTGATTCAACACTTCGGCCCAGTGGTCCACACTTGCTCATCCCTGGGCAAACACTTTGGGACGAGGTGAGAGCAGTCCAGTCTAGAATGACCAGGTTGTCAAAAGGAGGGACTGAAAAAATTCAGTGCTCTTCAAAGCTCACATCACCCCTGGGTCTAGGGATGGGTTCCCGGAGAAAAGACTCAGACCAGGGAAGGAAGGGAGGCCCTGGGGTTCCTTGTCTTACTTCACTAGTATTTTATGCTGCGGGGTCATGCTGAACATGAAAGAAATGGAACTTCAAAAATCAGAGTCTTGGCCGGGCGCTGTGGCTCACGCCTGTAATCCTAGCTCATTGGGAGCCGATGGGGCGTGCTCCAAGGTCAGGAGTTCAAGAAACCAGCCTGAGCAGAGGCGAGACCCGTCTCTACTATAAATGAAAGAAATTAATTGGCAAGCTGACTATATATATAAAAAATTAGCCGGCATCGGTGGCGCATGCCTGTAGTCCAGTACCCGGGAGCTGAGGCCAGAAGGATCCTCGATCCCAGGAGTTTGAGTGTTTGCTGTGAGCATAGGCTGAGCCACGGCACTTCATCTAACCGTGGACAACAAAAGCGAGACTCTGTCCTCAAAAAAAAAAAAAAAAGAAAAAAAATCAGAGTCTGACTGGGCACGGTGCGCTCCGCCTGTAAATCCTGAGCACTGTGGGAGGCGAGGCTGGTGGGATCGCTTGAGGTCAGGATGTTTGAACCAGCCTGAGCAAAGAGTGAGGCCCATCTCTACTATAGAATAGAGAAATAATTGGTCCAACTATAAACTAATAAAAGGCACTCACTCTAGCCTGGCAACAAAGGCGAGAGACGAAAGAAGGAAGAGAGAGACGAGAGACCGAAGCGAGAGCAGAGAAGAGAGAAAAGAAAGAAGGAAAGAAAGAGAGGAAGGAAGGAAGGAAAGGACAGGAAGGAAGGAAGGAAGGAGAGAGGAAGAAGGAGGAGGAGGAAGGAAAGAAGAAGAAAGAAAGAAAGAAAAAAGAAAGAAAGAAGAAAGGAAGGAAAGAAGAAAGAAAGAAAGAAAGAATGTAAGGAAATGGCCGGGCGCACTGGTCACGCTGTAAATCTAGCTCTCTGGGAGCGAGGGCGGGCTGAGTTGTCGACGAGTCAGGAGATTCAAAACAGCGCTGGAAGGAGCGAGTACCCTCGTCTGCTACTCGATAAACAGAGGAAGAAGGTTGATTGGGCAATAATAATATATATGTGGACCGAAAAGAGTGAGCCGGGCATGGTGGCCGCAGCTGTAGTCCAGTTTTGGATATGGGGAGGGCTGACGGCAGCGCGCGACGTCGCTTCGAGCCGGAGATTGAGGTTGCTGTGAGCTTAGGCTGACGCTCCGGCACTCACTCTGGCCTGGGCAAAGGGTGAGACTCTGTCGTTAGCCAAAAAAAAAAAAAGAAAGAGGAAAGAAGAAAGAAGGAAGAAGGAAAGAAGAGGAAGAAGAAAGAAAAAGAAAGGAAAGGAAGGATAGGAAGGAGGAGAAGGAAGGAAGGAAGGAAGGATGAAGGAAGGAGGAAGGAAGAATATTGGTCCAATAATATATCAGAAAAAAATAGCTGGGCATGGGTGCGCAGCCTGTTGTCCAGCTACTTGGGAGGCTGAGGCAGAAGGATCACTTGAGCCCAGGAGTTTGAGGTTGCTGTGAACTAAGCTGATGCCACAGCACTCACTCTAGCCTGGGCAACAAAGTGAGACTCTGTCTCTATATAAATAAATAAATAAATAAAACTTGGCCGTGTCACTCACTAGCTGTGTGTGTTCCTCCCTTTGGCTAGGAAGAACTGAGTCCCTGGTGGGTGAGGTCAACTTTTTCTCTCCAGAGACTGTCCCATGTACCTCAGGCCACTCGCCTGAATCCCTAAGGCTTTGTTTCCTAATCTATAAAATGGACTGTCAACAAAGAGGCAATTGCTAGATGCTTCTTAACGATGCGCTCACACGCAAAAAACGTCTCTGTTTTTTCTTTTTTTTTCTTTTTGAGACAGAGTCTCACTCTCGTTGCCCCGGCTAGACGTGCCATGGTGTCCAGCCTAGCGTCACAACGCAACCTCAAACTCCGGGCTCAAGCAATCCCTACTACCCTCAGTCCTCCCGATGTAGCTGGGACTACAGAGCATGTCCACCACTGCCCGCCTAATTTTTTCTATAAGTTTCTGTTTTTAGCTTGGCCAATTAATTCTCTTTCTATTTGTTAGTCGAGACAGGGTTCTCGCTCCTTCGCTCAGGCTGGTCCTTGAACTCCTGCAACGCTTGGAGTGAACCTCCCCCCTCGGCTCCAGCAGAGCTAGGATTCCAGGCCTTGAGCACGCCCTCGCCTCCTTTTTTTTTTTTTTTTTTTTTGACACAGAGTCCTCAGCTCTGTCACCTGGGTTAGAGTGCTGTGGCATCAGCCTAGCTCACAGTAACCTCAAACTCCTGGGCTCAAGCGATCCTCCTGTCTCAGCCTCCCAAGTAGCTGGGACTACAGGTGCTCACCACCATGCCAGGCTAATTTTTTGTTTCTATTTTTAGTTGCCCAGCTAATTTTTTTATATTTTTAGTAGAGACGGAGGTCTTGCTTTTGCTCACGCTGGTCTTGAACTCCTGAGCTCAAATGATACTCCCACCTCGGCCCCCAGGGTACTGAGATTACAGGCCTAAGCCACCCGCACCTGGCCAATTGTCTGCATTTTAAAGATGGGGAGTGTGAGGCTCGAGGAGAATCGGTAACTGGCCCCAGTCATGCATCAAGCTGGTGTTGGAATTGAGCTCTAGGAGTGGAAGCTGACTCTGTCTGAAGTCCTTCCAGAGAGGGCCAGCGTGTGTGCCAGTGCTCAGGAGATCAAACTGGATTGCCCCCAAGCCCTGATTATTTAATAGTCTGCCACAGTTGGACATCAGGTTGACTTTGACAAACATTGAAATCAACCTCAATCCTTAGGAGCCAGGTGTAAGGGTAAGGGCTGGAGGATGGGATCGCTGGGAATGTGCTGGGGGAAGGGAGGGAGAATTGGCCAGAGAGCACCACAGTGTGCTGGGTGCCATCTGGAGCTGATGACCCTCAAAGGCGCCCCTCGCTGTGACTGTCCTTGACCATCCCATCCCCTCTTCTCTCCGGCCCCTCCTCACCCGCCATCCACAATCTCATCCAGCACCAAGAAGGCTCCATCCATGTTCTCCAGCAACCAGCGCTTTTCCACGTTCTTCCTGAAGGTAGACAGGAGCTCCTGAGCCTCCGCGCGGCCAGCAGGAACTGAGTCCCTGCCTAAGTGAGGCGGACCCTCTCTCTCCAGAGACTGCCTCACTCACCCCAACCCCATACAAGAGCGGGGAAGGAGGACATGAAGGGCAGTGAGTACACAGTCTGTGTACGCCCTTCCCAAGCACAGGGTAGATCTGCTGCCAGGAGCCCGGCCTGCCCAACCCCCCATGCCTTGGGCATTGACACCACCATGCCCACCACGGGAGCCCTAATGCATTTCATAAGCAGCTTACATGCTATAGCCCTGCTGTGGTTAATTGTGTTGATAGTGAACTTTCACTGGGACTGGACTTTCTTAGTCTTGTGGGGACTTTAGGAGAAAAGCAAGAGGAAGGGCCTTACCTCTGCGATGCACCAAGGCCTGGGGGATGCGGCCTTGGAGGGCAGAGAACTTTACTTACCTTAACATGTGGTTCAGAGACTCGAACAGGCAGGTGAGAACAGACATGAGCATCAGCTGGGATGGGCAAATACGGGAGGAGAAGAGAGCGCTTGCAGTTGAGAAGGCCAAACGAGGCCCTCAAAGCCCACCTGTGTGGCCAGCGGAGGGCAGTTCTCCCTTTTCAGAGAGGCCTGGGCCGGAGACTGCAGTTTGACCTTGGCAGGAACTTCCCTGTGTCTGGGCTGGGGCACACTGGAGTGTTCCACTGGAGGACATTGAGTGTACCCTTCTCTAGTTATGTTCAAGAAGGAAACAAAGGCTCCCTGCAGAGTGAGTGATGACTTCATTTCTGGTTCCCAAGGAACTTAAGGATCATCAGGGATATGTATTATCCCAGAAAGAACCATTGTGACTGCCTCCCTACTCTTTGGAGCCTTGAAGGAGGGGTACCAACGGTGAGCCTCCAGATCTCAGCCTCCACCCCAGATTCCAAGCTATTCCCCCATGGACAGTCCCTCCTTGTCGCCCCAACCTCCTGAATTCACCTCATTCTCATAGGATGAGCCCACCACATACAGGAAGAGGTCAATGCTGCTCTTGTAGACGATGGTCATGCCCCCGAAAAATGCAATCTCACCTAGAAGTGGAGGGGACATTCAGTTCTGGCCACTCTGCTTGGTCCCACCCTGGCCCCTCTCCTTGTCTCCTGTTCTGGACCTCTCCTTCTATTTTCTTCTTCTCTTTCGAAGGAACCCTTAGACAGACCAGCACCAGGGACACTACCATTAGGCTGCTCTATGTCCTTTTCCCCACTAGCTGTTCTATGTCTAGGGACTGCCACATTCTGAGGAGTCAACAAACCCAGGTGTTGACCAGTTGACCTTCTGCCCACACTCCCACCATGTGCAACGCCTTGGGACAAGATCAAAGTTGGTGGGAGAACCACAGCACAGCTGGCCTCCCCAGCTGCGAGAGAGGTCTGGGTGAGCTGGTGAGCAGGGGTCATGAGGGATAGGGAGTAGAGGTTCTCTGGAGGAAGAGAGTGGAGGAGTGGAGAACAGCTGAGAAAGAGAGGAAGAAGAGCCTTTGAAAAAGGGAGGATGGCCTGTGGGTGTGTAAGACCAACAGGGACAGATGTGTCCAGATGGAGAAGATGACGGTGTGTGTTCTAGAGTCTGGTAGAGGAAGAGGCGACACTTACTCTCAGTCCGGCTGGTCTTGTTGAAGACGTTTTTCTCGAAGACCATCTGCTCCTTTGTGGAGGGGAATGTGTCATCATAATACTAGGAGAAAGGGAAGGAAAAGGGGCCATGGCTATCCACAGGGCCTTGCTCCTCCCTGGATGGGTGCAGGGAACAGTGGCTGCTGGCCAAGCAGGACCCTGCTGCTGTGTCTATCTCCCCCCTGTGGCCCTCTAGGCCTGTCTGTTCACTATTTTCCTATAAACACAGTCTAAGCAAAGAAAGTCCCAAAACAGAGAGAAATATTGATGCCTGGAGTCCCCTCCTGGTTCCTTGGAGGCTCTTGTACATTCAGCAAATGTGCAAGGTGCTAACGATTGTGGTGGTCACCAGGTCACACTGTCTCTACACCAACCTGAGTCTATAGAGAAGATGGCAAAGCCAGGAGTCCTTTCTGAATAACAATAACAATCATGGCAACAACTATTTATCATCCCCAATACACAGATGAGGAAACTGGGGCATGAGGAAGTCCCCAGCAACTCACGGTTGTGAAGCCAAAGCTGGGATTCAACACCAAGAAAGTCTGACTTCAGACAGCATCATGGTGAAGATTAAATATCTAAAGAAAAGTTCCTAGCACATATTCCATAACTAAATCAATGCTTTTTGTTCGGGTTTGGTGAGCCTCTCTCTCTGCCTCATTTTCTTTCTTTTTTCTTTCTTTCTTTCTTTTTTTTTGAGACAGAGTCTCACTTCTGTTGCCCAGGCTAGAGTACCATGGCATCAGCTTAGCTCACAGCAACCTCAAACTCCTAGGCTCAAGCAATCCTCCTGCCTCAGCCTCCCAAGTAGCTGGGACTACAGGCATATATTTTAGTTAGCCAATTAATTTATTTCTATTTATAGTAGAGACGGGGTCTTGCTCTTGCTCAGGCTGGTCTCAAACTCCTGACCTTGAGCAATCCTCCCGCCTCAGCCTCCCAGAGTGCTAGGATTACAGGCGTGAGCTACCATGCCTGGCCTCAGTTTCTTAATCCGTAACTTGGATGGGTCCTGCTGGGAGGAGGCCTGGGAGCCTCTGGCGTTGCTGAGCCACCTCTGGCCGTCTGCAGAGGCGAAGGGTGGTCAGCTCAGGTGTCAATTTTCTGGCTTTGGATTTTGCCACTTAGTACTAATCTGCAGGCAAGTTAGTAGTCTCCCTGCCGACCACTGCTGTGGTGAACACGCTCACTTGAATGTCATGAGGACAAAAAAGTTTCAGCTCCAAACAAACAGGAAATCTATAATGCATTTCATAGCTGATTTAGATACTACAGTCCGACCACAGTTCATTGTGGATTCCATGCTGGCCAGTGGAAGGGGAATGAGACACATCAGGGAACATGAGTGGAAAGAGAGGAGATTCCCCCTTTCAGGGGCCAGCGGCTTGACAAGCAGAAGGATGGACAGAATGACCTCCGGAGGGTCTAAGCTGGGCTGCTGTGAGTCACAGAGATCACAGTGGAGTCTCTCCTGAGATGGGAGTGTCACCTGGGTGGACCTCCGTTCTTGGGGCTGTAGCACTGTTTCTTCAGGGCCCCTCAGGGTGGGGAGGGGGTTACCTTGGCCAGCAGCCTGCGCCCGTCATTGTCTAGGATGAAAACAGCCTTGATGGTGTAGAGTGAAGGTTCCTGCAACTGACATCGGGAAGGAAGCTCCGTTTGGCCCCTGACTCAAGGTGGACACCCTGTCTCTGTGGGATCTGCTGGCCCTAGGAGTACATCCTCAGGCTCCAGCAACCCAATCCCAAAGGTCCACAGCTGGCTTCCACCCAACCCTGTGACACATGGGCCAACTCCAGTGCCCACTCCACTCCCAGGCAGATGTTCCACTGCAGGCCAGGATGGGCCCTGTGCCCGTTGGGTGCAGAAGGTCCTTCCGGGCCCAAGTTCTGTCATGCACTGACTGCTCCAGAGCCCGAGTCAGAGTGTATCACAGAACCTGGGCCGGGGGGACAGCGGGCCGAGCCTCCTCCTTCCAGCTTAGCCCATGCGGCGCTGGACCCGCATTCTCAGCACGCCCCAGGCTCCTGGCCCGGGTGGGCTCCGGAACACACCCATCACCCACCGGTGACGAGAGCTCGAGTCCGGGGCGGACACGCCACTCCTCACCCCTCCCAGCGGAATCTCAGCCCACCCCCACCCTGCTTCAAACTGCCCCAGAACTCCAGCCCCGCGCAGCCGGACTCTGGACAGGCCTCCTCGCCAGTCGGCGCCGGGACGAACTTTCTCTCCCCTGTCCTGGGCCGCGGCCCCCTCCCTGGGGCTGGTCGGAGGTGGCACAAAGTTACCAGCCGCCGGGCGCGCGAGTTCTGAGTTAGCTGTTCCCCTTCCCCCGCTGCGTCCCGCCCAGCTCCCGCCGGCGAGACCCCCGCGCCCGCCGCTCCGTACCCGCAGCCCCGAGGGCTCCCCGGCTCGGGCGGGCGGCGCCGGGCCCCCAGCCTGGGCCGCCGCGGCCCCTTCCCCCGGCTGCGGACGTGGCCAGGCCTCGGGCCGCTGCATTCCGCTCGCCGCCTCGCACTGACAGCCGCCGCCGCCGCGCGCCGCCCGCCTCCGCGCCCGCCCGGCCGCCGCCGCCGCGCCCGCGTGCGTGGCTGTCCCTGCCGCGCGGGCCCCTCCTCCTGCTCGCTCCCACTCTCCCCTCCCGCCCTCTGCGCCCTGTGCCCACAGCCCAGCAGTCCTTCCCCCATTTCTCTTCTTCCTCTCTCCTCCCCCGTCCTTCCCGTCCCTTAAAGCCCCGGACTCCGCATCCTCAGGTTGCCCCAGGACCTCTTCCTGCTTCCTGCCTCCTCTCCAAACTGTGGCTTTAGTCTGCAAGCTGTCCTGGGCCAGCAGAAAACACAGGCAAAGCCCACTTTTGCCTCTTCACCTCTGGTAGGTACTATGGGGGCAAATATGTCAGCCACCCTTTGGATCTCAGGGACAGGGGCCAGCAGTGAGAGCAGATGAGGATGGTTCTGGGGACCGACGGGTCTCTGGAAAAGAGGCTCTCCCATTCCCGTCACTACTTAGGAAAGGGAGCCATGGTCCTGGAGCTGTCCCCCCCACCCTGTCCCCACCCGGTGCCCAGACCGTCTCCAAAGACACAGATACAGCACAACCTGAAGCGAGACAGATGTCCAGCGGCACAAATGCTCTGCCAGTGGCATCAGGCTTTGCAATATGTCTTGGTTTCCTTGGTCTAAGTACACCAGAGTACAAGCTCTCTTTTCAGCATACTTTGGCCAGTGGGACATTCACACCCTGATGGTACAGAGTTAATGGTACTTATGCATTTACCCATAACAACTTGTGTGTGACTGAGCGTGGTGGCTCACACCTGTAATCCCAGCACTTTGGGAGGCTAAGGTAGGAGGATCACTTGAGCCTAGGAATTGGAGGCTGTAGTGAGCTATGATGGCACCACTGCACTCCAGCCTGGGTGACAGAACAAGACCTTGTCTCTGAAAAACAAAAAGAAAGAAAGAAAAGGAAACGGGTATATTTCACATGTAACACTTTCACATACTTTATGTAACACACACCTGTGAGGTAGCTATTATCACCCCCATTTTAAAGAGAGACTCAGTTTGTGTGACTTTGTCAAGACAGTACAGCTAATAAGCAATTGAGCAGGGATGGAACCCAGATTTTGGACTCAAATCTTCTTCCCCATTCTTCTCTTCAAAGCCTCTTACGTTGTGTGCCACATTCAGTCATCCTGGATGGCTGCAGAATGGGGCTGTCTTCTGCTAAGAGTACTGAGCCTTCTTTTCCTCAAGCCTGGGCTTAACCATCATCACCAAAAGGCTCTCTGTGACAGCCATCATATCTGACTTGATAGGTCTCTCCTGTCACATTCTTTTTTAAAAATTAATTAATTAATTAATTTTTTGAGACATACTCTCACTCTGTTGCCCAGGCTAGAGTGCCATGGCGTCAGCCTAGCTCACAGCAACCTCAAACTCCTGGGCTCAAGCGCTCCTACTGCCTCAGCCTCCCAAGTAGCTACAGGCATGTGCCACCATGCCTGGCTAATTTTTTCTATATATTTTTAGTTGTCTGACAAATTTCTTTCTATTTTTAGTAGAGACAGGGTCTCGCTCTTGCTCAGGATGGTTTCGAACTCCGGACCTAGAGCAATCCTCCTGCCTTTGCCTCCCAGAGTATTAAGATTACAGGCATGAGCCACCTAGCGGCCTGTCACATTCTTTATCTCAGCACCCTACTTCTTTCCTTCCTTGTGCTTTTCTCAGTCTCTAAATATCATTGTTACTAATTTGTTTACAAACGCGTATGGTTCTTCTCCCCACCAGACTTTGAGTGGTGTGGGGACAGAGATAATGTGCCTGTCTGTTCACTATGGAATTCCTGGTGCCTCCCACAGGGCCTGGAGCTGACAGGTACTTAATAAGCATTTATTGAGTAAGTGAATGAATATATGAGTTCAGGGTGAGGGAGATCATGTATAAATATTTATAGAATGCCTATCTTAAACAAATAATAATTAAAATGTACTTATCAATGAAACCATATTTTAAGTGTAGACAAATATTTATTGAATGCCTACTATGCACTACTAGGTTCTTTTCTGGCCACTGGGATACAACAGTAGACAAAATGAAATCTCTTTATTTTCATGGAACTCACAATCAAGTGTTTGTGTGCATGCACACATTTCTGTGCAAGACGGAATACACAAATAAATGGGTAAAGTAGATATTATGTGAGTTGGCAATAAGTGCTGCAAAGAAAAATAGAGCAGGAATGTGAGAGGTCAGGGAAAGTCAGGGTAGAATGTCATTTTCACTGGAATCCTCTGAGACAGACTTCAAGAAAGTGACATTTGAACAAAGCTGAAGGAGGTGAGTTAGCCCAAGCCACAGAGACATCTCAGGGAACATGCACTGAACCTCTTTATGTGATGACTTTTTTTTTCTGAGACAGAGTCTTGCTCTGTTGCCCCAGGCAGAGTGCAGTGGCATCATCATAGCTCACTGCAACCTCAAACACCTGGGCTCAAGTGAGCCTCCTGCTTCAGCCTCCTGAGTAGCTGAGACTACAGGCATGCGCCACCATGCCCGGCTAATTTTTAAATTTTTTGTAGACATGGGGTCTCACTATGTTGCCCAGGCTGGCACATGATGATTTAGAAGACACATGTGAACCTTCCTTGCAGGCTATCAGAGTTGTAATAGTGAACATAATCAATGCTATTTGATAAAATAGGGAGAAAAAAGACCAGCTATTTGATATTTTATTTGTTTGCATTCCAGATCATCAGAAGTTATGTCAGTGGTCATGCTGGCTGGGTATGTTATTAAAAAAAAATTCTAGGCCGGGCGCGGTGGCTCAAGCCTGTAATCCTAGCACTCTGGGAGGCCGAGGCGGGCGGATTGCTCGAGGTCAGGAGTTCGAAACCAGCCTGAGCAAGAGTGAGACCCCTAGAAAGAAATTAATTGGCCAACTAATATATATATAAAATTAGCCGGGCGTGGTGGCCCATGCCTGTAGTCCCAGCTACTCGGGAGGCTGAGGCAGAAGGATTGCTTGAGCCCAGGAGTTTGAGGTTGCTGTGAGCTAGGCTGACGCCACGGCACTCACTCTAGCCTGTGCAACAAAGCGAGACTCTGTCTCAAAAAAAAAAAAAAAAAAAAAATTCTAGGCTGAGTGTAGTAGCTCACACCTGTAGTGCTAGCACTCTGGGAGGCCAAGGTGGGATGATTGCTTGAGCTCAGGAGTTCAAGGCCAGCCTGAGCAAGAGCGAGACCCCATCTCTACAAAAAATAGAAAAAATAGCCAGGTATAGTGGCATTCACCTGTAGCCCCAGCTACTTGGGAGGCTGAGGCAAAAAGATCCCTTGAACCCAGGAGTTTGAAGTTGCTGTGAGCTACAGTGACACCACTGCACTCTAGCCAGCAACAGATTGAGACTCTGTCTCAAAAAAAACAAAACAAACTTGATTATTTTGATGCCTTAAAGTTTCTGAGAGCAAGTCCATTTTTAGCTCTTATTTAGAAGGACAGCACCAAAAAGCCTCTTTTCGGCATACGGTGCCCACTATGGGAGAGAGCCAGTCTCTAGAAGAAAGGACAAAGGAAGACCTGGAAGATAGTGGACATAGGGAGCTGTTGTGGTTCCATGGGAGAGGTGGGGGAGGAGTTAGCTACACAGGGATGGGACAGAGGGCACTGGAGAGGGACATAGGGGCTGGGGATGAGAAGGCCAGGGAAGGAGGTTTAGGAATCATAAAGTCCTCATAATCCCCAACTCTGCCACTGTGGTTGCCAGTCTTATGATCATGATCACCAGGTCTCTTTAGAGCTTAAGTGCAGTGGTGAATAAATAAATTCAGAGTCCTTTTTTTTTGGAGACAGTCTCATTCTGTTGCCTGGGCTAGAGTGCCATGGCATCACCCTAGCTCACAGCAGCCTCAAACTCCTGGACTTAAGCAATCCTCTGCCTCAGCCTCCTGAGTAGCTGGGACTACAGGCATGCACCACCATGCCTAGCTAATTTTTTTCTATATATTTTTAGTGGTCCAGCTAATTTCTTTCTATTATTTAGTAGAGACAGAGTCTCCCTCTTGCTCAGGCAGGTCTCAAACTCCTGACCTTGAGCAATCCTCCCCCCTTTGCCTCCCAGAGTGCTAGGATTACAGGCCTGAGCCACTGCGCCCAGCCCAGGTTCAACTTTTCAAGAAGAGATTTTCCCCAGTGATAGCCCTTCCCAAATTCCCTGAACAAAGAGCACTGGACTGTTTTCTCTCCCTGCATGCCCCCAAGCCTGAGGTGCACCTTTAACGGAGTACTATGTAAAAATGCAAGCTAAACGTGCCGGGTATTGGGACAGAGTCTTCCACAGAACATGGCCCCCAAGAAGATTTTGCAGTTTAAGGCTGGCAGCACATCTGAAACGTGCAGTGTGGCAGAGGAGACCCTGCGGTAGGGCCTCCCCAGGATAAGAAAGCCAAAGCTAGGTTCAGAAAAAATGCAGGGGCTGGGCGCGGTGGCTCATGCCTGTAATCCTAGCACTCTGGGAGGCCGAGGCGGGAGGATTGCTTGACGTCAGGAGTTCGAAACCAGCCTGAGCGAGACCCCGTCTCTACCAAAAATAGAAAGAAATTAATTGACCCACTAAAAATATATATACAAAAAATTAGCCAGGCATGATGGTGCATGCCTGTAGTCCCAGGATTGCTTGAGCCCAGGAGATTGAGGTTGCTGTGAGCTAGGCTGATGCCACGGCACTCACTCTAGCCTGGGCAACAAAGTGAGACTCTGTCTCAAAAAAAAAAAAAAAAAAAGAAAAGAAAAGAAAAAATGCAGGCTTCATGTTTCTCTCCCCTCTGTTCCCTGGGGCAGGAGGGGGTGCAGTTGGGTGGGGAGGGGGCTGTGCACATCTCTGACCAGCTGGAGTCTGTGGAGTAGCTGAAATCAGAAATTGGTCCCTGCCTTTTGGAGTCCCAGGAGGCAGGTGATTCAAATTAGGTTCTCCTCTGGGCCTTGGGATATCTTGGAGGGGAGACCATTCTGT